CTGAATCACGTTTAATTATGCTAATAAATCACAGAACTGGGCGACAAAACAAAAGACGCTACCAAGGTCTGACTGGCAGATGACAGATAGAAGATAACAGGTCAGAGGATAGTAGATAGAATTCGCTGTAGTTTAAACGATAACGATAAACTAAAAACCATAAAAACTACGGTAAACTAAAGCTAAGACTAGTCCATGTCCACTAGTGCCAAGTACCAGAAGCTGTGAAATATAATCTAATAAATTGTTATCGTTATTTTAGGATCATTTTTTGTTTGCGACCTTTTTTTAAATTGCTCATGGCGAGTTGCGACTTTTCCTAAAATTTAGCCGCAAAAATCTGGTAAAAGTAGCTTAAATTCCGATACGTCGCCCAATCTGGCTACACTGTTGGGCATTTTATAGTGTTTACACTAACATTGGAAAAAGTATACTTCTGTTAATCGAGACATTTTTATAATCTCAATATTTCAAATTCAACTTATCACAACGTAAAATGATTAAAATGTTACCTATATGGATACAATTTACCCATTTCAATTCTTAGGCTATGTTTTTTTCAGAGAGCTCTATTATATTTTAATTATTATCTCAGTTTATTTTATTTCCATTTTCCCAAGCAATGTCGAAAATTTTCGATTTTTCAATTTCACTCTTCCTAATATAATTTTTATGCCTACCTAACCTTACATTCAGAAGTTTGGATGGCTCTCCCATGATTATTACACTCATAGGGAATACAGCGAAAATGTTAACCAAAGAAGCGGACAGCAAAAAAAGAAAAATTAAGGAATCAGAATTAATGAACCTTTTAAAGAAGGACTATTTCCTTCTAGACTAAAAACATCCATTATCTCGCCAATTTTCAAAAAAGATGATTCTGAAGATATGACAAATGATCGTCTATAGGTGTACCACCTATAATTTCGAAAATTTATGAATACGCTGTTATTCCAGCTAGTTAATTTTTTAAATGTAAATGTTTTGAATGATAATCAGCATGGCTTTTGTTCTGGTAGTTGAGGTAGGCGAAAGTCCGACTGGGATATTTTGGGACCTCAGTCGGGCTTTTGAGTGTGTTCAGCATGACCTATTACTCAAAAAATTGTATAGTTATGGCATAAGAGGTAGACCATATGATTGGTTTGTGACCTATTTCAATGAAAGAAATCAGATGGTGAAAATAAATTACTTAGAACAAAATCAAAAACCTCTTATATGTCATCAGCACTGGATAATATTGGAGTGCCTCAAGGCTTTGTTCTACGACCAATACTATTTATTATCTACATAAATGAACCTCCAAATTTGCTTACTTTATCTTTTGTTTCCTTATACGCTGATGATGCCACCCTGCTCTTTTCTGATAAGTGTCATGTTTCTGTTCAAAATAAGATTGATATTACTGTCAAGCTGGTTTAGTAACAACTGTTTTTTTTTAATGCCTCTAAAACCAATTATATAACATTTCACACCCGTCACTATCATAATATTCCTACATCAGATATTAAAATGAATGATTTTAACATTAAGAAAAGCGACTGCACAACATTTCTGGTTATAGTTTTTGACAATACGCTCAAGTTTAAAAATCATTGTAGTAAACTAACTAGTACTCTACACTCTAAATGTTTTCAAATTCGAACTTGAGGAGTGTCTTGGGTATGTCTGGTCTGTTACTAATTTATTATGGACAAGTTCAATCTAGACTCACTTATGGCATTAGGTACCCACACACGAAGCGATATTTTGAGCGACTTGGTATGCAGAAGGCAGTGTCTGTCTATTTGGAACTCACGTTTGTGCTGAGCGACGGACCCGGTCGGTAAATACGTCGTCGGTGTAGGAACAGGTCGCTACAAGTTAAAAAACTAACGTAAGGATCCAGTCTGTAGCGCTCGTCGTTTGATCTTAGTTTAAATAAATTTTGTTTGTGGTGTACATATAGCCATGCATGTTTCAGATATAATGTATCCTAAAGTTTGAGGTGCTACACCTGTTGAAAACTTCAAACTTTCATACGACTGTCCTGTAGCTAAATAACGCAAAGTTGCAATTAGCCGCTCTTCAGGAGGAATAGATTCACGCATAACAGTATCTTGTTTCTTTAAGTCTTGAAATAATAAACCTAAAATAAAGAAAATTGTTTGTGGCATCCCCATTTGCGGCACCATTAATTGTTTTAAACAGTCTTTTAAATATATTTTAACTTACTTATAATTCATCAAAAGTTGGGCCGCTCATTCTTAAGTAATTCTTCAAATCGTCTTGTTCATTTTGTCTCAATTCACGTACTAAAAGCATAGAACCATATTTTTTTTCCTCGTTCTGAAATCCATTGCTTGACCCACTTTTTTCTGTTCCTTTTTCTCTTATCCCTGATTTTTAAAATACATGAACCCATGAGAGCAATTTTTTTTGTCCATTTTGTACTAACGCAGATTCACCGACTAAAGAGGTATTTTAGACCAGCTTAAAATACGAAGTCGCACTACCCAGTATGTCGAAATTTAAAATATCTGCCAACTAATTGAGGGACAGCGTAGGTGCAGGAACCAATCGTTTGACAAATGACGGACAAAGTATGTTCGTGTGTAGACACGACAAATCAGATCGCTCACAGACCAAGTCGGCGGATCTGGTATGGCAGTTCTGGTCGGTCGACACCGTCGGCCGACTATATCGCTTCGTGTGTGGGTAGCTATTAGTGTATGGGGTAATTCGTCTGGTATATATGATGTTTTTGTTGCACAAAAGCGTATTATGTGTATAGCGGGAGTATCATCTACTTATTCATGTCGCAATTTTTTAAGCAGTATAGAATTCTCCCTCGACCAAGTTTATATGTCCTAGAGCTTTTGCTCTTTGTGTTCAAGAATAAACATATATTTGAAACAACTGATTCTATTCATCTATGTGATACACGGAATAAAAATAACTTCCAATATGTTCCAAGAAATATTTAAATTTAACTTCAAAGGCTCACAATATCGGCTGAGATTATATAATCATTTACCACTAATATATAAGAACTCAAAAAATTTATATACTTTTAAGAAAAATGTTAAAAATTATCTTTTAGATATATGTGCCTATTCCGTTCAAGAATATCTTGATAGTGGCAAGAAGTAATAGACATATGAGTATTTTAATTATTATTTTTTTTAATATGTGATATTAGTTGTACATTTTAAAATACTGATCTAATTGTATATGCGTAATTTGGTATTCTGAATGTGTTGTTTCTCTAAATCCTTTTATATTTTAACATGTTCTCTAACTGAACTGTATTTTTAAAACTTTTTAAAATTTTTGTATGTACCTATATATATCGTCTTGTATAGAATATGATAACTCAGTTTTCTCTCTAAATGTAATGTTTGACTTGTCCTATAGCAATTATATTGCTCTTACTGGATTAATAAATATTCTATTCTATTCTATTCTAGCAATAATTTTATTATTTCAAATAATGGAAAATGCTTTGATTGCCAACGAAATGAGGTTCTAAGAACTGAAAATGGAAAATCATTGAAATAATTCGGAAATTATGAGATTTTGAATTTGTATGATAGTTTCCAAGTTTATGATTTTGCTGCAATTAGACACAGGTGTTGTAGACTTTTCTTAGGCATACAAGATTGTCATAGAAATGTGGATTAAATTTTTCTCATAACTATTCAAAACAACAAAATGTATTACAACATAATAAGCCCGGCCCTGAGGAACGTTAAAAATTTCGATCCGCCGTCTAACTTATTTCATAATAGGTATAGTACCCACACAAAAAAAATAGAGGCGATTATTTGTAAAGTTTTTAGTCTGTTAATTTAATTTATTATCAGCAGGTAACTTCTATTTTCGGTATTTACGGGTAGACAGTTATATTTTCTTACCATTTCTTTCACTCGAGTCGGAGTCGAAGTCTTGCAGTGGAGATGACTCGCGTACGCAGGACATTAAACTGAGAGGACCAGCCCCTGAGTGAGTCCCGACAGCCGCAGATGACATCTGCAAATAAGAAAAATGATTAAGAAATGTTAAAACTGAAGACAAGCAAACATCTAATCTAATTTACGTAATCAGAGATATGAAAATGAAACTCGAAAATGTTCCGAACACACACAAAACATGAGTTTTATGAAATGTAAATAATGTCCAAGATAAAAGGAAATGAAACAGGTAACTCATTTATTCCTGCAGCGAGATACACTTCTTCAGAAGCAACATTTTCAATTTGTAAATAAGTTATTTTACCGTCTAACAACCTTAGCATACCGCTTGTTTGGTTTTCAAACCCAGTTGTTATTATTTCTTAATATTTTATTATAAATATTTTACTTTTCTTATGTTACCTAGCATAGATTGTTTCATTTTAACATATTTATATTCTTGCAGTTGTCTGCACTGAAAAATACATGAGGAAGTGGGGGTCTTGCTCCTGTTACAGTGTCAAGGACGATCGCCAAACAGTACCGTTTTAGAGCTGATAAAGGGTAGACTTAAACCTAATGTTAATTTATACACGCGTATCAATCACCTTGCAGTGATTTAACACATATTCGTAAAGAATATTTTTACTGGCCGTGTTTACTCCGTTTATACTTAACGGGAACAGTGCCCTTTCTTCAATAACGTACTCATTTTAAATATACTTTGTTATCGAAGTGTAAACTACACATTTTGTTATTAAACCTTTGTTTTGCTATTACTTTCGGCGTATTTCTTTGACATCACAATTTATCACCTGTTCATAGTCGTTACCAGCTTTAAGTATTTAAATCAGTGAACCAGCGACCTATTACATTTGGATGGCAGTGCCGCAACAACTGTGGCATTAACACCGCTTATGATATGTTAAATACACTACTAAACATTTTAAAAGTTAACAAAAAAATCTAAGAAGAGGGTTTGAATATTTATAAAAAGTCGTCTTCTCATCGATTGACGCACACGTTCAGAAACTCCATATTGTATGGCATGCATGCATTATTCGGTTTGGCTTCATAGTTAAGTGGTAAGAAAACTTGCTTCTCACGCTGGATCCCGAGTTCGATCCCCGGTCGAGGAGCTAGGATTTATTTTAAACCAGAAATTAATCCTAGCATACTAGAAAATTGGGTGTCCATTGTCCATAAATGTGGAGCCCTCTTCCACACAAAGTACTTTGAAGTACCTTCAGGGATACAGACGGTTGAATTACCTGTGTTGTTTAATTTAATTAATTAAGATTTAATGTCATTTTCATTTTGAATATGTGTAGTGTACACCAAAGTCTTTAGGTGTCCCCTCCTCTGGGAAAAATCTAAGGGATTTAATTCTGGTGATTGTATTCCTCTTCGACCTAGCCGCCCAGAATACACAGTGTCCAAAAACTGATGAGCAGCTTGGCTAAAATGAAGTGAAGTGAAGTTGAACGTGAATGAGTAAAGAAGAAATAAGAAAGAAACTTAAGTGTTAAATTGTGATTATAGTTAAGATATTAATTAATCTATTGTTGTTAATTATTAATTAGTCAATAAAGTAGTGAGTAAGTGTGAAGATACTAAAGTATCGATCTCAATAAAACGGAAAATGGTCAACGCTTTACATTTAAAACGAGGTAACAGCCTTCTTACTCCAAAGGGCCCCAACCGTGTCATTCTTAATGCCAGCAGTGCAGCATACACATTTTGTTACACTCAACACAATTGGATTCTTTACAAAACAAAATAATCTCTACCAAATTTCTACAATTTGACCCACAGACTTGGTGATATAGCGATGACTATAAGGCAGGTATAGCTGTTGTATAGAAGATCATGGTAACCAAGGATAATGTTGAATACGGCCGCTTTTGTCAAGGAGTTGATCAAGCTTATTATTACTTACAATGAAGACCAATTTCAGTTTCTTATGCAAGTTGTGACTGATCACCTGTACTAAAAGATTTCTTATGGATCAGCAGAAGCCTACTCCCTGTTAAATAATAGAACTATGTATTCCTATGATTTTATTTTCTACTATATTTTTACATCAAAACAATGCCACTTTATGTTTATATGCTTTCAATTACTAATAATAAGTAACTTATTAAAAGTATATAAATGGCAGTATTATTTTTGTACCATTATATAGCTAGCATTTTATGCAAGTAACATATAAAAGTCCTAACGTTTTGGACGATCTCTAAACATTGCTCGATTGTCTTGATTTTTTTTGATATTGATATAACACCAAAAAAAAATATTTCTAGTGGGTGTGAACATATAATTTCTAAAAAAAAATATCCATAACATTAAGGCCAACCTAATCCATTCTATAAATTTTATTATGCTGCTTAGATGAACGTCTAGCAGAAAAATATCCATAACATAACCGTTTAGTGACCGTGCTAAAATCACTTTCAAAAAAAAAAAAAAATCACAGCATGTTACCTTACGATTGCTACATATACAAATCTCGTCTCAGTTATTTATTTAACCGGCAGTTGCTCGAATACCCCATATATTGCTATGAATACGATTTTCTTTTTTAGAAACATATGTTAAAATTTCGTCGAAATTTACAAAAATTTCTGAATATTTTCCTTTGACTATTTATTTTTGTGATGGATATTACGATTTACCTATCTCAGGCAAGAGAATGTTTCATACAACAATGACAAAAGTCCTTCAAGAATCCTATCGCCAGCAAATGCGTAAAATAAAGGTCACGTCTTCATGTTCGAGGTCAAATAGTATCGATTCAGTCAGAAAGAGCTTACAAAGCACTGAACGGCACAACGAACTCTCAAAATTTGATACTGTCTGGGCTGTTGACTGTATTGTTAAACGAGAGTAAAAAAATTTCACTTGCTTTATATCATACGGGCCGTACTGAGATAACTTTTAGAAAGGGCTGTGAATGAGACACCCAATTTTTTTTGCCAACTTTAAGCATTTGTCATGATGACTAATTTAAATAATTTTGATAAGTTTACTTGACATTTGTATAAATACATTTGAAGTAATCCTAGAAAAATGAATAATAAACTCAGTTTTAAGATTCCTTAAAAAAAATAGTGCTCGGATAAATCTTTTCATCCCATTTAAGTTTGGCATGGTAACCGAGTGGGTAAAGCGCTTATGGCTATTTACTCGGTACCAGGTTGGCCGCGATAGTCAATCGTGTATTACGCACTTTGACAGCAGCTAATTTTTGTTTTTTTTCCAAGAGAAAAAAATACACTTGGAAGTGGAAAAAGACGTGCAGCGAGACGATACGACTGAAAGGAAGGCAAGAAGTAAAGGAGATCTTGCGAGGCAAGTTTTATTAATAAATTTATAATAAATAAATATTTCAAAATGACGTTGACAGAAGTCAAAAATTTAAAATTATTATTTAACAATGCGGCCACCAGCAAATCATCAGATGAACTCCTAAACTTTAGTAAAACCAAAAAAAGACGCATTGCCGACATCGATGACGAAAAATTCACACACCCATCGACTTCAGGAAGACAGAACAATACAAAATTGATCCAGGAAACACCAATAAAAAATTAATTTAACACCATTTCGAAAAATAAGGACGACGAAGACATGATAACTGACCTACTACTAGACAATAATGAAATATATAATGGAAAATTACCTTCTAGCAAGAACTCAGGAAACGTTGAAAAATTAAAAAACATTAGGCCCCCCTCCCCCATTTATCATTCTTGACGTTTTTAATAAACATGCTAAAATGAGTAATTATTTAAAAAGCAACTTAACTGGAAAATTCTTTTGGAAACATGCCGCTAACTCCACTGCCCTCTATTTTGAAAAAAATATGAGGATTGGAAATTATGCCGTGATGAATTTTAGCTTGCCAACGTCGAACACCACACCTTTATACCGAAACATGACTAAAACCCATGCCTTCGTCTTGAAAGGAATTTATCACGGCGTAGACGTCGATGATGTTAAGCATGAGTTAGTAAATGTATACAAAATTAATATAATAAACATTTATGTAATGCGAGGAACCAGCTACCCCATGTTCCTGGTTATTGCAGACGGGACGGTTACTTTGAAGGAGGTACAATCAAAAATTCGCTATTTAGACCATACCGCTGTGAAGTGGGATCATGTTAATAATATGAATTATAATACAGTATCACAGATGCCAACCCTGGGGTCGTGCAACCTCAAATTGCAGCGCTACCCCCAAGTGTCTGAAGTGTGCACAGACCAACTTGACAAATGATTGCAACAGACAACCAGATGACTTAATAAAATGCGCAAGTTGCAGTGAAAATCATCCAGCAAATAGTGTGAACTGTAGAGTATATAAACGAAAAATTGAAGCGTTCGAAAAAAGAAATATGCCGCTGGTACCACCTCCACCACATACTAAGTATGTAGCCGCACCACAGCCGACCATCAACATTTGGGAAGCAAGACGAGAAGCCATTGCCGCACAAAATGGAACAAGGCCCCTTCTTTCTAATGCCAAACCACCGTTACTATCAAACCCCACTGCCACAGCCCCAGTTCCCTCTTTCACCTCCGGTATGGGCTGCATATCTTCAATTACCGAGGAATTCAATAAGCTTAGCATGATAGATTTGGACCAAATGTTGCGGCGGGTAAGATATTTAAACGACAAACTTTCTAATTGTAATACTGAAATTGAGAAATTCGAAGTGTTTTCTAAATTTACACAAGACATTTCGAATAAAATTATCAATCTTTTCTTGGAACGCCAACGGTGTATGAAATAAAATGACACCTTATTAATTTTCTGTTAACACATAAAGTTGACATTATGCTTCTGAACGAAACAAAATCACGCCACGAGATAAGTTGCGTATCAGAGGGTATACGACAATTAGGAAAGACCGCAACGACGTTAACAGAGGAGGCGGCGCACAGTGGGACCAATTTCATTTCTAGCCGGATAAAAGTGCAAAAAACAATCGACGCCAAACAAGACAAAACGTTTCAACATTCTCGTTAGAAGTAGCTGGGTCCTTTATATACACGACTCGTCGCTGGTAATAAGATTCAGTGTGTGAGTTACACTGTTAAGTTGAATGTTATTTGCGTACGAAATTCTTATAATAATGGTTACCTCTGAACTTTTGATACTCGTATTATCAACATAGCGTTGATCATTATCGGTTAGTGGGTTGTTTTTGTTTAACAGTAAGGTAAGTATATGTAACTTATATTCATATTTCCCACATTTCATTTGTGTATTGAATAATAAGATATCATCAATTGTCGACATAAATATTCAGTTATAGTTATGTTAAATAGGACCGCAAAAAAAAGAGGGGGCGAGAGGATATTTCTTTATTTTATTTTTCTCTTCTACACAATATAACTTATGAGTGTTCAATAGATGATGTGCCAAGTTGCGCCATAACTAATTAAAATTTTAATTATTAATTAATAATAAGAACTAAAAATGATTTCCCTGCCAAGTTCATTTCAATTATTCATACTTTCAGATAAATGGCAAGTACCATGGCCAAAATAACTTTTACAAATAACGATTTATTTGAGGTACTGCGAAGTCGGGAAACTATTCTGTGCCCAGCCTCCGCCAATTCAAAAAAATATCTGTTTGACTTTATCTATCATAAACTTGTTGATAGTGGAAAATGGTACACCAGTGATGAACTTGAAAGTAATTTAAAGGGCAAAATTTCTGGATTTTGTTCCTCTCCTCGCAAAAAATGGAACGCCGCAAAACGGACGTTATCCGTTTTTAGAACAAGCGATCGGAATTGGTTGACGCTTGAGTTCGCGTTACCTAAAACAAATGCATCGATATCACACACACCGACTACAAGCCGAGTGGGACGGCCATTAAAAAAAATTTTTTTTATGTAGTGAGCGAACGAAACGTCGAAAAATTCAATTTCTGAACCAGAACGCTACAACTGAGGAGCTGATTCATGCGACAAAAGCAGTCCTTAACGAAGACAGGAAACGTGCAGCAACTGATTTACTGGTACAGGCAACGAAATATTCCCCTAAACGTGCAGTAAACATTAGAAAAACCGTTCGGAAGTTACAGTCATTACTTCAAATTAGAACTTATTCTGATGACGAGGCA